GCTCTTGCTCAGGCTGGTTTCGAACTCCTGAGCTCAAACAATCTGCCCGCCTCGGCCTCCCAGAGTGCTAGGATTACAGGCATGAGCCACCGCACCCGGCCTCTGAAAATCAGTTTATCTTAAAGTTAAAACATCAGGGTCGTTTCTGTAAATTCTGCTTGAAGGCACAGAATTTACTCACACCGAGTGCTAACTGGAAGAGTCAGTGGCTATGTTTGGTGATATTAGAGTAACGGCAGCTGTGTCATCAGTGTAAGGACAAAAGCCTTATGGAGAAGTACTCACTTTTAGCTGCTACAAAACAGCAGCAAAGGTGTGTGGAGATCAAGCGTGCATTTAAGGACAGTGCTTCCTGAGAGAACTACACTCAGGGGAAGTCACCTGAGCCTCAGGAAAGGAGCCTCTGTAGGGGCGGGTGGGAGGCCAGACTCCACTCCTACCAAGATGCCTATTGTGCGAATGTGCTTGATAATTTCTTGTCCAATCCAACTCTGCAAAAGTCAGTATTTGTTTTTAGAGGTCCTTCATATCTTAGCAAGTACTCTATTGAGACCCTAGACCAACTAGAGATTTTGGCAGGGGAGAAAAGCAGGAGCTAAGACGGTATATTTAAATTTTTTTTTTTTAATTTTTTTGTGTATTACGATGCTTGATATCTTTAAAAACCTTTCTGGTTGGGGAAAAACTGCCCCTCCTGAGGCTGAGGTTGTTTCTTAGAGATAGCAAAGGGCCTAGCCAGGAGCATGTCTTTGATAGGCAAACTAGTCTAGAGACACACTTCTGGTGTCTAACCTGTACACGACAGGAGACAATATTCCTCTGCCTTAATCATCCCAGGACCAGGTGCTAGGTAAAAAGGGACCATACCTGTAGTTTAGGCCTTGCTGAAATTATTCAAACTAGCCAATCCTAAACTATTTGTTCTGCCCTGCCTTGCCTTTCCTATAGAAACCCCATAAAGGCAGTGACCTAAATCTTCCCCTCAATCCTGTCTTCTTACCGCCATGGTTTCTTTCCCACAAAGCCCTGCGTGGTAGGCCGTACCTCCTGTCTCTAGGACCTACAGTATAATAAACTTTGTTTTTCCTGAGCCTCTCCTCTTGTGGCTCCACCTGACTGGCTGTCTCATAAAAGGATAATACAAAACAGAGGGTAAGAGGCCATAGAGAGACTGCTGTACCATCTGCTCACTTATGTTAAATTCATTAATCCTAAGTGTTTTAATGTTCATGCAGTAAGACATCTTCCTTTTCATTCCTCTTGTCTAGGTATACCGGACACTACTTCATAACCACTTTACTCTACTCCTTCTTCCTGGGATGCTTCGGAGTGGACCGTTTCTGTCTGGGACACACTGGCACAGCAGTAGGGAAGCTGTTGACTCTCGGAGGACTTGGGATTTGGTGGTTTGTTGACCTCATTTTGCTCATTACTGGAGGGTTGATGCCAAGTGATGGCAGCAACTGGTGTACAGTTTACTAAAAAGAGCTGCTGTCAGGGCCCAGGGAGGCAGGTGAAAGCTCTGTCTTCTGAATTCTTCTCTGCAGGCTCAAAACTCTTTGATATCAGACACGACCATTACTTTCCCTGTTTGGAGGGAACCGGTTTGGTTAAGAAGGCTTCTTTGGACTTTGGATTCTCGACCCAGAGTTCACCTTGCAGACTAGAAATGACAAGCAAAATATGTGTTGTACCTTTCCTCATGTACAAAACATAAAGGATAGCGACTAACTCATAAGCTGTGGAAGGGTTTCCATAGTCTTTATTTGTGTACATTGCTGTATCTTCAGTCCCTTGAAGCAAGTGGACCTAACAGGATGAGTAAAGTGAAATTTTTATCCACGAGCCTTTCGTGATCCTGAGTCTTCATGCAAAGGAGACCTGAAGCTGAGCCAATGAAAATCTTCAGCAGAAATAGAAATGGCCGTGGATTTTAATACACACTGAAATTCCAACTTTCCAAATTTAAATTGCACAATAAACTTTGCCAACCTGGAGTGCTATGTGAGTATTTTCAGTAGGGAGAGTGAAATTCAAAATGGTATTTGTTTTGCCGAAAGCTAGGCATTTGCAATGAACCACCCTGTTAATAAACCCTGTTGTGTCACCATTGTTATGCTCCAGAAGCAGAATATGCAGTACAATAATTTCTTCATTCCAATTACGTTTTGAGAACCAACACAGTAGCAGACATGTATGTGAGCTGAGCTATTCCTCTTGGCAGAATTGTCCTTTCTAAATATTAGTATTTACCAGTTTATGGAGCCCATGTTGTAGGCTGATAAAAAAAGATTTCATACAAGTTTCTGTAAAACTATTATTCATGATTAGGTAAGACAAAGTGAGGAGCCTCATGCCCTTGGAAAGAAAAACACTCCTACTTAAAGGATATTGAATACTAGGGTAGAACTAGGATGTGATTTATGGGGACAAAGAGAAACTGAACACATTCAGAACTCGGAATAAGCATGGGACTAAGGCTCTCACTGTGGGCTACAGCAGTCTGAAAGGGATATAGCCAAGCCTTTGCATTCCCAAATCACTGGGAATGAAAGAAATGTAAGTAGTTTATAAGTTTTAAAAATTGCTTCCCATCCTTTGCAATCTAAGTTGAAAGAACTATTACATATAAAATAAAAGGTGGACTTAGTGGCCAAGTCAAACTAAAAGCCTGCTATTCAAAATAACGTACAGATTCTAGAAACAATCAAGGTAGAACTACACAATGTTTACCTCATGATAATTGACTTACAGACCAAAAATCACAGTTAAAATAACTTCCCTGGATATATTTGATCATTTTGTATCAGCTTTCCTAAGAAATTCTGCTTTATCATCCCTGATTAATATGATCACTGTTCTTTTTTTTTTTTGAGACAGAGTCTCACTGTGTTGCCCTGGCTAGAGTGCCGTGGCGTCAGCCTAGCTCACAGCAACCTCAGACTCCTGGGCTCAAGCAATCCTGCCTCAGCCTCCCAAGTAGCTGGGACTACAGGCACATGCCACCATGCCAGGCTAATTTTTTCTATATATATTTTTAGTTGTCCAATTAATTTCTATTTTTAGTAGAGACGGGGTCTCGCTCTTGCTCAGGCTGGTTTCGAACTCCTGAACTCAAACAATCCGCCCACCTTGGCCTCCCAGAGAGCTAGGATTACAGGCGTGAGCCACCGCGCCCGGCCTGTTCTTATATTATTAAAGGTAGCAATGGTGTGAAAAATTAGAACAGGTTATTCTGTTCTGTCTTGAAAGTTCTGCACCACACTGACCTTGCTTCTAATAGTAATAATTCGTAGACTTTTAACTCAGAATCTCTGTACCCTAAGTCAGTATATTTTAAATTGTCATGGGTCATAAACCAGACTTACTCCCCAGAAAAAATACACATACATGTAAAATTCTGCATAGAATTTAAGGGGGCTCAAGGATGCCATGTTTTTTTTAAAATTTAAATCTTACCCAAAATAAACCTTTAAACCTTATCAAATCCTACTTCATCCCATGCCTTTCTAAAATCTCCTAAAAATATTCACAAACCCCATCAAAAGTTTCCTTTAAAGAAAGAAAAAAATTTTGGCAGCTCCAAGACTTGAAATCATTAATGTTACCAGGAGGAAGAGCTTGGGTAAAAAGCTAAAGGTCTGTAAATTATTAAAGAAGCTGTTTTATAAAAAAAAGCCCTTCTTGTCTATGGCCATACCAGCCTGAATGTGCCCAATCTCATCTGATTTCGGAAGCTAAGCAGGGTCAAGCCTAGTTAGTACTTGGACAGGGGAAGGAGCCCTTCTCAGAGTCAGAAAACCTGTTGAAGACAAAAGTTGTTTCCACTGCTAGAGTGATAATTTGAGAATCATGAGTAATATTTCTGTGTGACAATCTGCAATTGTCAGTTTCAATTTGACTTCTAAATGACGCCAATCTTCTATATCCACAAACCCCAGCCAAATGTGATACAACCTCAAAAACTCATTGACCAAAAGAGTATTATTAAAAAATTGATTATCTCTACACTCGATTTGGGTTGTTGCTTAATATTTGGTAGATAGATCTGTTTGTGTATGTGTGTGTTATATCTAGTTTGTGGCTATAGAGGTTTAGAATACTAAAGTGTCCCTTCCCTCTGTCAAGGTTAAATTAGAAACTGTGCCTGTTTTTTAGTTGTTTCCTATCTTTAAATAAAATTTTATCAGTTCCCCAGACTTCCTGGCACCATTTCCTTCTTCCATTTGTCTTAGTAAGGCTTCTTAACAGCAGTATAGCACCCCTGACCTAATGACCCCTGAACGTGTGTGTGTGTTTGTGTGTGTGTTTTCAAAGCATCGTTTTTACCTCTTGAGAAAGAGATTCCAAAACCCCTTACCATCTTTGGCACATCTTCAATACAAACCAGGTAATATAACTTTGGTTTTGTTAAATAATCTCTCTTTACAGCAAGACTTAATTGATTATTTCAGGTGTGACTGTCAGGAACAAAATTTGTTTTCCCCGATGAACAGTGATGGAAAGGGAATCATTGTCCTTAACAGCTTCAATAACATCAGCTGTGGTAGTAACAGGTTGTCCATTTATGCTGACAATTACATCGTGGTCTCTCAACCCAGAGCTAGAAAGGGAAAGGGAAAAAAAAGGACCATGAAATTATAAGAAGAGTTTTTTTATGGCATTACTGTTTTGCTGGCATTAAACATACAAACCGGGTAACCAGAAATAGCCTCTATCCTTCCCAATCTGAGGACTGTTCTAAGATATGCTGCAAAATCACCTGGAGGACAACAATTCTGTTGACCTTTATAAAATTAATATCCTAGCAGTACTACGTAAGAAGGTGACTCTTCCACTTACTGGATTTGGTTTGGCATGGGAAGTTCAGCTGTTATTTTCTATTAATCTCTAACTTCTGTTAACCTCAGGCACGCTTCGGGTCTCACCAGCAAAAGTGAAAAGCCCAAACAGTCCATTTTCCCCCAGACAAGGTTATACTTTGGTCAGTTTTATTTTGACAACCCACACACTTACCCATCTTCACGCACCGTTTATAGAGCTGAAAAGTATGCCGAGCTGCATTATATTAGTTCTGCTTCCAGTAAGTCAAAAACCAATCAACCAATATTTAAAGCTCTGTCTCTAGGCTCCCTTTCCCCTAAGCAGTGATTATGTTCAGTGTCCTACATCATTGCTTCATATCGAATATGTATTCTAGAAGAAGAAACTTGCTCCAAATACGAAGCACTACTATAACTACATAGCCATGCTAATGATTTGTCTTAAAGGTAAAAACAGGCTGGAGAAAGAACATCAAATTAAATGACTCCAGGAGACCCCATTTAAGGGAAGTGGAAAGCCGAAGGAAGACTGATAATGTGGTGGGATTATCAAGATATGTGGAGTTTTAAAAGAAGTAGGAAATTTAGGGGGGGGGGAACCAAGGGCAACACACGTAACCTAAACATCTGTACCCCCATAATATGCTGAAATAAAAAAAAAAAATTTAAAAAAAAAGAAGTAGGAAATTTAAAGCGAGTGGATACAAAGAGAAGCTTGAGTATAGAGCTAAAAGCAGGAAACTCCTTTAGATCAAGCACAGTTTAGGAGGATGACTTGGAACCAGTGTGCACAAAGAATTCATAATACTAGTTCTGTGAGTAGGAAAAGAGAAAAAGAAAGAAACCTGCAAATTATTACTGAGTGCTGACTACGCACCAAATATGGGGAACTAAGGCTCAGACAGAATAAATGACCTTTCCCATGTCACACAACTTGTAAGGGGCTAATGTAGGAGTTAATCCTGGGTCTTTCAGACTTGAAAACCCATCTTCTTGCCAATAAGTCATTCTGCCTCTCAGAAACAAAAAAGCAGCCTCAAAAGCAGGATCATAGAAGGGTCAAGCCAGGGTCCACATCCGTGCTGTCTGACTTCCTGTGCAACTCTGCGAGATAATCTCTCTGTACCACAGCTGCTTCCTCTGTAAAATATTAATACCTATATCGTAAGACTGTTGGGGGCTCAAACGAGTATATAAAACACTATAAATACTGCCTCAGATATAGTCAATGTTTCATAAGTACCAGCTATCATTAGTGTAATTATTATTATTAGGTATAAGTGGATGAAGGCCAGAAATAATGGATTTCTATTTATCAGGGACTCCCAGCAGTAATTCTCACATTTTAATGTGCATAGGAATCACCTGGGGAATCTCGTTAAAAATGCAAATCCTGATTTGGGGGGGGTGGAAGGTGAGGCCTGTGAATCTGCATTCCTAGCATACTCCAGCTGCTGCTAATGCTACTGGTACACTTTTGAGTAGCAAGGACTTAGGTGAAAGAAAACACTTTGGCCTTGAAGCAGAAGTTAAAAATAAGGAGGAGTGGGGAGGTGGAGCAGGGAAGGAACCAGGAGAGTCTAGAAAAGGCTGTGACAAGCCAAATTTATTAATAGTAACATGAGACGTAACACTTAGCTATGCTGAGCACTGCCCTATGGTTTCTTTCCCCCCGCCCGAAGGGAAAGTGTGGCCATAATCTAAACAGATTACTGAGCTCTTGAAAAATAAACAGAAACAGAGGCAATGAAGAAACAACAAGAGAGAAACCCAGTAGAATAATGTTTGTAGGACAAGCTACCTCTTCCTCAGTAGTTACTATTAAATGTTTCAAAACAACAGTGAAGTCAGCGGGAGAACATTCTTTTGGGGGTTATTCTAACCTTGGCTTTATTACACAGGTCTTAGTGGTAGCCTATGATACTGTCATCCAGAGCTCAAAACAAAGAAAGGATTTTAAAATACCTAAAGTGTATATTAAAACTTTTAACACTGTGGATTCTTCTCATTCTTAGTAACTAATAATTAGTATTTATTAAACTTAGTAATCATTCTAACCAATATTTATAACTAATAATCAACAGTTATTAATGACTTAGTAACTTAATAGGTAAGTAATAACTAGTAATATTGAAAGGGTAGATTTGGGAATTCCTAGCAAAAAATTAAACTTATGCTATTAACTCATGAGTTCTTCTTGGACTTCTTAGACTACAGAGAACCATCTCCCTTCCTCCCTCCCTCCCCCCAAAAAAAAGTCTTTACAAGTATACAAGTGTAAGTCAGCACTATCCTACAGAAATAGCCACATTTTTAAAAAAGTTTTAAACATATGAAAGTAATTTTAATAATGTATCTTATTTAATGCAATATATCCAAAATATGATCATTGAAATATGCAACATTTTAAAATTTTTAATAGGTATTTTACACTCTATTACATATAAGTCTTTGAAATCCACTCAAAACAATACACACCCCCCAATATACTACTATAGAATGGTAATATCTCATACAATTCAATGATTCAAGTAAAATGCAGTCCTTCAGAAACAAAAAAAGGTACATTTAATGGAAAAATATTTTACACTGCTTCTCAGTTTTTAAATTTAATTAGTTAAATTTAAAATTCAGTCCCTCGGTCACACTGGCCACATTTCGCGTGTTCCATAGACACTGCATGTACACAGTAGCACCGTATCGGACAGGGCGAATGCAGATCCTGCGTGCCTTTACCATGGCACACATCTAGAAAGAACAGAGGCCCGCACTTATCTTACCTTTCAGCAGCTGTTCCTTGAATCACTTCATATACAAAAACCCCAGAACTCACATCAGGGAAATCTGGATCTTGCCTTTTCATTTCTTGAAGAAGGCTGAGAGAAGAGAGGAGGTTAGGAAACATAATGAATTAATCTTCTGAGCCCTGGGAAAAGCCTAGAAGTCTTAGTAGGTACTCCATCGTTCTGTTCAAGGCTCCCAGGGGCCAACGAGGATGTCATCGAGCCGATCACAGCCATTTTCCCCTGGGTGCATTCTGTTCCTCTATGCCAAAGCCTGGAACCATCTGACATTACAAAATGCAGCCACAGTGAAAGACACTGTGCACAGCCAAAGCTGGTGCAAGCAGAGCAAACAGGACCCGCGGTCCCCAGAGCACCCAGCTGCAGTCCAGATACTTCAGCTTTTCTGTTAAGATTATCCAGCTACAGCTTCTGCCTCCGAGAAACAACCCGGACATATTCGAACACATGCTTACTTCATAGTGAGGGGCAGCATTCGCAGACCCAGATATTTCTTCTGTGAAAGAGCCTTTCCTGGGAAGGAAAGTTATGATGTGTTACTAACAACAAAACCTCTTTCCTTTCGGCAGAGTTTAAAAGACACCTGTGTTCCAAAATCTCTTTGCTATTATAGCTGCCCTTTCAGGCTGCCCGCCATGAAATACATGTGTCAGAGAACCTTTGTCGTTAGCACATACACTGCTCCCACCAACCCACCCACCTCCAGCCCCTGGGTTTCATTTCCAGACTAGTTCAGTCCAAATACTTCTGGATACAACTCATGCTTGGTTTTGCGCCTAATCCTCCAATATTGCCACCCAAAGCACCATTATGGTAGCTGAGTACCAGTGTCCCTGTAGTTTACAGGATTCCAGTGGCCATCTCCACGAAAGATTGAGTGCTCCTGATAAACACAAGAGGGCATGAAAAAATCCCAACTCCCTTTACCTTTCAACTGGCGCTCGTGGTATTCTGCCAAGAACTGTCTAATTCGATCTGAGGGAATGGCAAAGGAGATTCCTGCAGTCACCTTCAATGTATTTATGCCAATCACATCTCCATCCTGGCAACGGAGGAGACATCATTCGGTCGTGAAATTTTACAAAATGAACAGTGCAAAACCAGAACAGCAGAGGAAGGAGGGAAGCTAGTTACTACAGTCAGAAAACAGAGGAACGAGAGGAAACGTACTTCAGTAGAGAGCAAACAGTTCGGTAGGATGGCAAAGTGGGCTGCACATGTGAGGAGGTACTTTCCTTTCAGGGTCAAAGGTTCAAGGCTACTGAAGATTTTTTTTTTTAATTTTTTTTTTTTTTTTTTTTAAGACTAGTCAAGTGCAGTAGTGAGGAGGGGGGAAAGTAGTAGAACAAGGAGTTCAATCCGTAACTGACTGTGAACAATCAAGTGAGATAACTCATTACCTTCAGACCAGCCTTTTTTTTAATCTTGAGCTCATTTTTTCCTTTAGCAGCTACATTGACTTTAAAAGTGAGCCACAGATTGAATTTTGACACAGATAAGAGGACAAGGAGTATTTTTCCTAACCATGCACTAACGATCCAAGAATAGAAAAGCATCCTTCCATAACTCTTTACACAAGAGCGGCACCCAAGTCTGCATTTCGGCATGTGTAAAGTTTTTGAAAGTTAAAAAGAAACATGAAGTAGCTAGGAAAGTGGCCACTTACCAAGTTCACCAGAGGCCCCCCAGAATTCCCGTGCTAAAGACAGAATTTGAAAAAGCTGTCAGTAAAGCCAATGAATACATTGCTCCTTGTCATTTATATATAGCTCCCAAAGAGGTTTACCAAAAGCAGCCTGCTCTCATGAGCTCCCCTTGTTCCTCCAAGGCAGGCAAAATATTGTCACCAAGAGTGAAGTCTCAGTACAGGTAAAAAACAGTAAAAGCACCCCCACCTTCTACACAGGGGTGACCTCCATAACAAACCCTGAGAGACCACCCCAATATCAAGGATGCCAATGATCATACCAAACAGACTGAACTCTAACAACACGGCATTCCAACCTTCACAGGGGGATCTAACTGCACTCTGGACATCCCCAAAGGCCAAAAAGAAAAGAGGTCTTTCTGTCCTTTTATTCTCACTGTACTGCCAGTATCTTATGGGCTGAGGATAGACCTCCTAAGTGACTTACATTAATTATTGCATCAGTCTGGATATAGTCCATATCTGAATCCTTCAGCCCCAGTTCTTTGCCTCCTCGCTGTGTAGTGCTGACAATTCCTGCTGTCACTGTGTTCTGCAGAGAAAATGGGCTGCCCAAGGCAACCACGAACTCTCCAGCCCGAAGGTCAGATGATCTTCCCAGTAGCAATACAGGAAGGTCAGTCTGCAATGGTCAAGGGGGATGAGGAGGACAGAAAGGTAAAGAACAAATCAGGAACAGAATTGACCAATATCTGTGTCTAACACAGATGTGACACTGTCAATATCATTTTGGCCCTTACCATCTAAGAAGCACCCTTCCACACAGATTCTATGGCTGCCTTCTACTTCTTCCTAAAAGTTCAACTACCACCACGCTCTTGCTTGTGAAGATCATTAAGATCATCTCCAAGGTCTAAAATAATTGCTTTGCAGAATTTACTCTTAGCAAACTGCCAGGAAGGTAACTGATGAACATAAACTAACATTAACAATTTCTTTAGTTCAAAAATTAACAGTCAAAGTGAATAAGGCACAAACGGGAAGATGACCCAGAGCAGCACTTCTCAAACTGTAATTCGCATGCAAATCACCAGGGGGTCTTATCACAAATGCAGATTCTGAGTCAGTACATCTATCTAGGTGGATTCTGAGATTCTTAATTTCTATAAAGCTCTCAGGTGACATGTTGATGCTGCTAGTGTGCAGAACACACTTTGTGTAACAAAGACTTCAAAGTATTCCTTAGCAGCTTTGAGTCTATTAGCAATTACTTCTGGTATTCCAAGCAGAGAAATAATTTTCCAAGAAGCAGCATCTGTTGAAGAGGAGTTGCAGGAGAAAAACTAAGACTGCTCAATAGTTAATATAAATTGTTAGGGATGTACAGACAGGCATGGAAGAAAAACAAAACAGAGCATGAAGAACAGAAAGAAACCAGGAAAAAAACATAAACCAGATGGAAAAGATGTGGTATGGGAAAGAAAATATCAGCAAATAAATGAAAATCCCCAAATATGCAGACTCTGATTCAGCCCTCAAATACTCACATTTGGCTCAATCTTAATCAGCGCGAGATCCAATTTATGGTCAACGTCCTTGACAGTGGCTTCATACTGGGCCCCACTCTGGAGCTCCACCTGAATCCGCTGCTGGTTAGTGATGACATGAGCATTGGTAATAATGAGCCCATCCTCAGACACTATGAACCCAGAGCCACTGGATGCAGGAATATCCTTGCTGCCGAGAGGCGATCTGTCTCCACAAGACAACAGCAGAAGGCAGGAAAATCAGGGGATCCAGCCGTAGTTTGTGAGTCACAGAAACCTCACATTTCTTAAACATACTGTCATCATGGTTTTCTCAGACATTTTGCTTTTCCCTGTGTTTTCATTTTCTCCACGTACAGATGGATTTTGTAGACAGTGCCCTAGCCTTCTCTTGTGAGCACGACTGAGAGCTGGTTCCAACTCTCCTTTTCCAGGGACACTGCTGCCTTCTCCAGAGCTGGCCCATGCAGCAACCTGTGGGTCCTCTGGTGCAAAGAGGCTGTACCTGCTCCTACTACTATGGGCAAAAGTGGGCCTAGTGCCACGGTATCAAGGACCCAGGCAGGAGGGATCAGTGGGGTCTGGTTCTCTTGGTTTCCACTACCAACTGTGGCATGGGACAAATTAATCCCGCTCTCTGTGTCTGGGTTTCCTTGCACGCAAACAAGGGGGCT